GCACACTCAGGTCAGAAGGGCCACTTGTGTATGCCGGCATGGTTGAAAAGGCGGTGGTATGAGGTCAACGGAACACAGGTGTCCATCGACATTCGTGGGATGTGGCCCAGCGATACCCAAGCACGGGCGCAGGGTGTCGAAGGACGGGTCGTAGTAGTAGTCGTGAGTGACTGTCGCAAACTATTGAAGTTAACAGTTTTTATCGGGGTTTCTTATCCTGCGAGGCAACCCGTTGACGACGTTCGCGGTGTTCGAGGGGCCGTACAACCAGACGGAGTTCGCACCTTGCTTCCGGGTTCTCGCGAAGATGCTTCAGGCCATGAAGGAGATCGAAGGACGTTCGGTTTTGGCCGTTTGCTGTTGCTGGATGCACTTAGTAATAAGGTTCTGCAGCCAAGTTTGTGGTGTGATCTTCGGGTGATTGCTTGTATCCGAGGTTCGCATGGACGGGTCCGGTCGGCCAGTCTCGTGGTGGGCCTCTCGGCCCTCTATGGCGTCCCCCTTTGGCTGCCGTCGTTCGGCGACGTGTCGAACGAGTGGTGGGCCATCGGGCATCTGCCGGAGACGGTCGTCACTCAGCTCCGTATCTATGCGAGCGATCGTGTGGCCGCTCCTCAGACACCGCCTGGACCGCCGCCGGGGGGGCCGGCCGGGCCGGCCGGGCCGGCCGCTGATGCAAATGCGGCTCCTGGTCGTCCGCAATATCGCGGGACGTTTGGGGCGGCCGAGGCACAGATTGCCATGCCCGCCACGGGCAACGAGATTTTGGATGCCGTGCCTTGGCTCAATAATAATTAATTAAGCGTTCGGTCCGTTCGTGCATCCTGTTCTCACTTAGGTTCGGTACGACATCTGGAAAGTGGCACCGGCCGCTCTCCTGGAGCTGGACGAACTGCAGCTCGATGAGAAGGCCGTTCGTGCCGCTCGGCTTTTTAATAATTCGCATGGGCTGTGTCGTTCATTGTCCGAGCACAATCAATTCACAATATCCAAGGCGGTCGGGAACCTGGCCGGCCATGGGGAGGACGGTGCGAAGTTCGTCCGGGAGATTTTCCAAATCCTCCAGCGTGACTTGGTTGGCTAATGGGTTGGATTCGAATCATTCAGATGAAAAGTTAAGTTTCTAAAATAACTGAGGCGAGAACCAGGTGGACCTTCGGACCTATGCCAATCCATCGGCGGCCATAACCTCGGCCGTTCGAAAGGAGCTCGACCGCCTTCGCCCCGAGATCCCTGGTCTTCCGGGTCGCTTCGGCTTTGAGCTTCTACTTTTAACTTGACTTGTGTCGTTCGTGCTGCTTTGCAATGCACCTTGCATTTACCTGATAGCTGAGGCAGCAGCAGACAGCAGGGAAGAGGAAAAGGCCGGCAGCATTACGACGATTTCGACGTTCGCCGTCACTCCCTTGAAGTTAAACAGTCAGATGACATAGGCATTGCTGTTGTCTGCGTTTCGCGATCGAGTACAGTGACTGAGGCGGGGAGCAGCCGGACTTTCGCGGCTATGGCGATCGCGATCGGGATGGCGGCGGCCGCCGTGACTACTACGAGCGGGACTGGCGTGAGGACGATCGGGACTTCCGGGATCGCCGTGACTTTCGGCGTGACGATCGTCGCGATCCCAGTCCGGACGATCGCCGTGGACCCTGGAGAGACTATCGTGGCCTTGACGATCGCGAGCGTGCCCGCTTCGACGATCGTGATCGTGATCGCCTTTCGGATCCAGGGCATCCAGGTCGGCCGACTCCTCGTTGGATGTCCGATGCCGAGGTGCCTTGGCTGCAGAAGCTATTGCGATTGGCTGCGTGTATTTCAATCTGGGTGAGTCTGACATGCTCAGGACCGTCGCCGTCGCCGGTACGATTACTACTAGGTCGTTCGTGGTGCCTTGGCTCTTTAAAGCGTCCTTCGAAACCGTTGTTTGTGTGTCGAGGACTGACTGTACTGTACTTTAATAACTGCAAGCCTAAGGACGGCCGCTTTTGATTTTGGGAGGAGCCAGGACACGGCCACTCGCATCGGCCGTGAAACTGGTCCTCGAAGCCGTTTTGTGTGCCACGGCACACCTGTAGCTTCACTCTGAGGGGAAGATGAAAAAAGGGGTCTCATGTGCATTGCCCTTTGCTTTGCCACTCTTGTTACACTTGGCCGAGATTGAGATTTGTGCTCGTGCCAGGTCGTGGGGCGTTCGGAATGAGGAGGCCAGCAGCTTTGCCGGGTTTGGGTTTATTGTTTGGTGGTGTGGGTTGTCTCTGTTCTTTGGACTCTAACATAAGGAATGGGTGTTGGGTCTGTGCGGGGTTTGGGGTTGGTGAGTCGTTACATCTACATGCAAGCAAGATTGCTTATCGGGTTGGGGTTGTAATCTGATATGTTCTTGGTCGTTCGAAGTTTGGGTGATTCTGCAATCAAAGTATTGTGGGGTGTCTTTTGGCGTACTACTCCTTAAAGCTAAAGCCTGGAGGGAACAAGAGCAGCAGGTCCCACAGCCCCCAAAAAAATCAGACTTCAAACCTCGAGCCCTGAAAACACCCAATATTGGCATACTGTAGGGGTTCCTTAGGTATTGTGAACAACACATCCAGAACTCCCAAACGGTCTCTCGGCAGGTGTGGTCATCGCGGTCATCGCAATCGCGAGGTTGGGTCGCGTGGTCCTTCGACAATTAATAAAACAATTACTTACAAATAGCAGTCTTACTTAGTACATTATTTATTAAGCATTACTAATAACAACAATAAAAAATAATAATGGGAGCAGTCGCGGGGTTTATTAAGTAAACCACAAATCACAAAAGGACACTGGCAGGTACAATAATTATGCTAACAATTTTAGACACAGGATAGTATGATACTGATAACAACACCAATAACTAATTGGTTGAATGATTAAATTATGAAACATAAGCCCAACGTCGTTCGAGTCGTTCGAGCAATAACACAATTGTGCAAGCATACCTGGCATACCCTCCTGACACACGATTCGTAGCTCTGGCTACTCAGCCCTAAAACCCAAACGACATCCTGCAAACTGACCCCTACACCCTCTCATCCCCCTCCCGAAACTTCAGGCTGTAGTTTCGCAACCTTATCTAAGCCCGAAGTGAATCTTCCTAACTCCGATTGCAAATGATCCTTCCATTACTAGTTTATGTCATCCTGCTGTTGTTATCAAAACCCAAACGATTCTTGCGAGGCCTCTGCAATGTAACTTGTGGCAGCATAGGGCAGGGTTCTGGTTTGCGGGGTGATGATTAGATTATGGCATTGCAGTATCGTGGACATAGACCAACAGCACGTGTAGTCGCACTGCAGCGGTAGGAGTATAGCAGTTCACAATGCATTTCAGGAACCTCGGCCTTTATCTTATCAAGGGCAGCCTGTGAGACAGCTCCTGTAGCAAGCCATCCTCCTTTGCGTCCGTGGTCGTTCGTCGTCCTTTGTTCGGAGTCATCATGGCGCCTCGTCGTGATGCAGCCTCGAAAAAGGCCAGTGTCAAGAAGCGAACTAGCCGCTCGCCGGGCGGCCAAAGAAAGCAAGCTCCAGAAGAAGGCCGAGAAGACTTTCGCGAAGTCGGTGGCGACGTACCAGCAGGGGTCGTTCGAGAGAGTCCGGGCATTCGTCGATCAGCAGCTCGACGACAATCCGGCCTGGATCAGGCCACTCGCCGACCTCATGCGGGACGGGGCGATCAAGGCCATCCTCAAGATGGGGTCGCCCGACTCCGCTCAGGCGGCCGGGGCGGGCGGCAAGGCGGTCGAGAAGTGGCAGGGCAGGGCCAAGAATTGGGGCGAGTTGCCCATCGATGCCGTCCTTCGCATGATCGGCTGCGTCGGCGTCGAAATCAATGAGCCTAAGGTGGATGATGGGACGATCGACGAGCAGACCATCCGGGCGTTCTTCGAGGTGCAATTCTTCGTGGACGGCGGGGTCAACTTGCCGGCCGGCTGCCGTGCGTATGAGACCTTGGAGACAATGGCCAGGCAGCGGTTCGAGAACCTGAATCTGAAGATTGTGCAGCCGAAGCTCGAGGCCTCCGGGACGTTGGAGTGCTTCGCCTTGGCCGAGAACGGCGAGATGTGTTGCATGCACAGCGATTCCACGGCCACCTTGCCAGGTCTTTCGGGTGACGACAAGTGGGTCCTCTCGGATGCGAGCTCGCCGTCGTGCGTAGTTTACTCGGAGTCCAACCCCTCGGTCTCCTTCTCGTGCCGGTCGCTCTTCGACGAAGTTCGCGGCCTTGACCCGGCAGCCAAGTGGACTTTCAGCAAGAAGGACAGCTGAGGATGCACCTGGGTCTCACGGCTAGGGCTAGGTCTTACTTGGGTTTCTCGGTATGGTCTCACACGTAGCTCTTGTGTCGTTCGTGCAACACGGTTGCATAGTTTTGGCACGGGGTGCCGCTCGACAATGACAGGGGTTTCCGGCTTGAAAAGGACGGCATTGCACCCTTTGGCGAGTTGGAGTGCGTTTCAGCTGTTTTCAGGTGCGTTTCAGGTGTTTTTCAGCTTTTTCTCGAGTATTTCTTAACCTTTTAGTATGGGGCTGCCATTAAGCGGGTTTTGTGTGCAAAGTCAGGGTTTGGAAACCTTTAGGGGCTTCGAGTGCGTTTCAGCTTTTTGGAGGTGCGTTTCAGGTGCTTTTCAGCTTTTTTGTGGGGTTTTGGCTAGGTCTTCTTGGGCTGCTTCTCTTCGGGTGTCAAAGTAGCTCTTTTGACTGCTCACGGCAGGCCTCGCTGAACGAAGACCCGGCGGCGTGGTCCTCGGTGCCGTGGCCACGTGCTGCCAGCTGCTTTGTTCTGCCAGTGCCAGAGACTTTCTTCTAGAGTTTAGCAGGGCAGCTGTGGGTCGCCGTCGTCCTTCGGCACGTGAGGTTTTGAAAAGGCCCCAAGCAGGAGGAAGCAGAATGCAGCACAAAGTTCAAAGCAGAGTGACAAGCAACAGCACACGGTAGTCAGCATTCGTTTAAGTCCTTTTGAGACTAGGGGCTTTCCGAGCGAACATGGCAGCCGCCGTTCCAGAACGAATGGTGCGTGCCGTCGTTCTGCCGTGCGGAGCAAAGGGCACCTTCAAAGGAGAAGTGTACGAACACACCGTTCGGGTCCAAGCGGACGACGGTCGTTCGACACCGGGCTTCTTCTTTTGGATCTTTCGCTGGATGGTGGACTTTCTCGGAGGGACACCTAACCACAACATTTCTGGAAGGAGTCGGGATGGCATCGTCGGTCGGGCGGCGGCCGTGTTGGCGGACGGTTTGTCGTCGTCCGAGCCCGAGCAGGACGAGCAGGAGGACTCGCAGGAGGCAGTTATGCCGTCTGCGGAGGATCACGTCAGCAAGAGCAGTACGATGACGAAGCACGAGCGGATCCACAAGAGAAAGGCCAAGAGCAAGCCGGTCAAAGAGGAGCCGGCCGAGCCGGTCGTGGTGAAAGAGGAGCCGGACGGGGAGGGCGATATGCCAGAGGAGGAGGCTGATGAGGAGGACGACGACGAGCTAGTGCGAAAGGGCGACTTCTGCCTTTCGTCCTTCGCTTGCATATGCTGGTTGGCTCAGCTGATGGCCAAAGGCCCCAGAGCCAATTCCAAATGGAATTTGGATTCCGCCGAAGTTCGTTCCCGTGCCGAGGCACTGCTGGAAGGAATGCGGGATTCGTTTTGGCAGGACGTTCGAGGTCGTTCGTTTGAGGTTGTGCAAGGCCAGCTGGCCGTCGACAAACTCGCGACGGCGTTCGGTCAGGTCGCCGGGAAAATTTTTGGGAAAAAAAAATTGTGCCAGTCGTTGAGGCCTTGCGGGTTTTGCAGGCCGACAGCGTGCGACGTTCGCTGAGCCAGGACCGTCGACGGCTGGCCGAAAAGATCTTCAGCCGTTTGGTGGCGAGACTTGCCGAGGCCATCGATGCGTCGAAAGGAAAGACTGTCTGGATGGCCAACCGTGTTGAGTCGCTCGAGCAGTTGAGGACTGAGGGCCCTGAATCTGAACTTTAAAGCGTGCCATAATTTTTCGCTAGGCCCAAGGTTTAAGTGCGAAACCTTTATAAAGTAACCCTAAACACCTTTTCTTTAAGCCTACACTTGCAGGACAGCTCGCGGCTACCGGAAGGTCTCGCACGGCTGTCAAGAGGCCGTTCTGCAGGCAGGGGCGGCAGCCGGGCCGTCCATTGCAGCTGCTCTACAGTCTCAGAAACACTTGACGTCGTCCGTCGAGGAGAAGACCACCCGGAACCGGGACAAACCAGGCAAGTTTTGGGAGTCAGAGCGACTCTCGTACTGCAGCAGCGGACAGTCGACGTTCTCGTCGACTACCGTCCTCAGCGTGGTCGCGGATGCCGTTCACGTCGGCGACGACGACTGGTTGAACGTCTTCGTGTGCGATCCTGGCTGCGACGTGTCGTTCTTTTGCCCGCCACAGGCTGGTTTGTTTTGGGTGGTTTCAACTTCAGTAGGCAGCTTGAGAGTATTTTATGGTTTTGAAACATTATTTAAGAGGTGGATAAGGAGGTTTCTGCTGAGCGACACCGGCCCCCCAGAGCCCCAAATCGGCCCCAAATCGGCATCGATTTTGGTCCGCAAAAAACCATACACCTATCCTAGCTTTCGGCCGGTCTGCGGTTATCCGCGCTTTGGGTTTTCATACACCAAACACGCCTTCCAAAAACCATACACCTATCCTAGCTTATTCCGCTCGGCGGGGGACCCGGGATAACCCAAAAGCTCCGTCGGCTGCCTTCTATCTGTATGACAGCCTACTCCAGGCAAAACCATACGGCTATCCGTCCTTTCGAAAACCATACGGCTATCCTAGCTTTCGGCTTCGCCGCCAAAACCATACACCTATCCTAGCGTTGTTTTTCGGGCGCAAAATGGCGCATTTTTGGACCATTTTTGGACCATTTTGGGACCACTTTGGGACCACTTTTGGGACCACTTTTGGGACCCCCCGAACGGCCTTCCAGGGGCTCCAAAATAGCGAACTCCAGGCAGCCGAGTTAAGCGTAGTTTTAGGTTTGCTTTGCGTGATACTAATTTTTGGGGAGAAGAATCGCAGCCTCCTCGGCGATGGTTTTTGTTTTGCTTAGGAAGGCTTGTTTGTTTTGAGATAGTGTGCTTCTGTGTTTGTGTTTGAAGGTTTAGGGTTTAGAGCAGTTTTCTTCGCTAAGGGTGGTTCGTCTGTCAGTGCTGAGCTAATCGGGTTTAGGGTGTATAATAATAGGGTTTTAGGTGTATCATAGGGTTTAGGTGCTCAAAGCTACATCGGATAAGTCACCCTGTGACAGGTGAAGAAGGGAACCTGCCTCACGGCCGAGAACTTCGTGGACATGTGGCAGGGCCGCATCACGAAATTTTTCCAAAAGGCCGGCACCAAAGGTCGTTCGGCAGGCAAGAGCACAGGCGGAGTTCGGGAACCGGAGCGACAGGCCACTCAGGAGTGGCTGCGGGACGTTTCGCACAGCCTCTCGGCCGTGGGCTGGAGTTGGTCCTCGTGTGGTCCCTCGGCCGACAGTGCCAAGAGGCCCAACGTGATCGTGCTCTGCACCGATCAGGAAGCGACACAGTTGGCGGCCGTGTACTATCTCAAGTTTGGTCGCTCGCTGTTCGTGGAGTTCGTCAACGACCCCGCCCACAGGAGCCATAACGACGTTCATCTCGCTTTGGCGTCGGCGGGACTGTTGACATTCGCCCTCGTCTCGCTCGGCCTCTACAACGTTCGGTACGGGCCGTGGAACAAAGGAACCTGGTTCGGCAAGGTCCAGAGCATGGCCGACGAAATGAGCAGTTCCATGTCGCCCTCCGACCCGCTCCTTTTGACGTTCTTCCCGGACATCCTGGCCGATGAGGGTCGTTCGCAGGAGGAGAACACGGAGGAGAATCGGCGGCTTTTTTTGGAGGGCCTGCCGAACAGGTCGTTCGTTCGGTCCAAGGGAAGCAAGGCTTCGCATTCTCGCTTCAACAGCTTGTCCATCGCCCATTCGGAATTGGACAGGGACTGGTCGTCGTTCTGTTTGGTTTTGGCCGCTCTGTGCATCGCCGAAGGCTGGACGACGAGTGCCTCGGCACTCTGGGCTCCCGGAGCCGGCAAGGTGCAGGAGGCCAGCAGTGGAACCAGGTCAGCGGCGAAGGCGGCCGCTCGCAAAACGATGCAGCAACAGCGAAGCGGTTCGGTCAACACTCTACACGGCATGACGTCCTTCGCATGCAGCCCTGACAACCGATCGCTGGCGAGAACGATTTTTTTCGTGCTGCAACCCGAAGGTATTCGCTGCAGCAAGATGCTCGAGGAGCTCAGGTCTTTCGATGCAACCGTGTCCACGTATGCCGCTTGGGCCCACTGGGGCTACGTGGAGACCGCTCGAGAGCACTTGGTTCGTCTCTCGGACCTGGCTGCCTTGCAGCGACTGGGCTTGAACATGGCCATGGACCATGACGACGATTGCGACGAAGCCGCCCTCGTCTACCAGGACACTCTGGCTCGACGGGTCGTGAAGCTCACCGTTCGCCTGCTTCGCTTCCGGTGCGGCTCACAGCTGCCGAGCACGAATGGTTGGGGTGCTACCGCCGGGCTCCTCCACGACAGCACGGCCTCTCGCCAGGCCAGTCTCCAGTTTTTGAAGGCGGTGGACGTGACTGTGAAGGCCGTGCAGGAGACCGGGTCTCTCGAGGCCAAGACAATGCTCGAGGGCCATCCGGCCACAGGGCCTGTCATGGGCATGGTGTTGGCCGAGCTGCGTGCGGCGTCCTTCGTCGAGGTCCCGCCTGGGACGTTCGACTTTCTGCGGCGTTGCTGGGGCGGCCTCTTGAATTCGAAGTTGGTCGAAGATGCCAACAAAGTGCAGCGTGAGGCAGAACAGAGAAACGGGACTGCCAAGACTCTCGGCCGCCTGGAAGGGTGGCATGGCCTCTCGAGGAAGAGGCTCTTCAAGGATTACGACCGTTCGGAAGTGCCCAACGGCACCCTGGTCACCCTTCCCACATCGTTCGATGCCGATGCCTGGTTCGTTCGCAAAAAGAGGCGAACGACAAGCGGGTCAATCGCCACTGGGTCTGCCAGCAGCTCGCAGCCCGCCGTGGCGGAGGAGACTGCAGAGGAGGCCGTTTGCAAAGGGGTCAGCCAGGCTCGCTCTTGGGCGTCCCACACTCCCGACTCTGAGCAGGACAAGCTCGCTGGCTTCTCGTTGTTGGCGAAGGTGGTTCGGGAGTCGAAGGACTGGTCCTTCGTCGAGAAAGGGTGGTGGTCTTCTCTGGTCCCAGAGGGGCACGGCCTCGCCTTCCCGGGCTCAGACAGCGTCTGCTTCGTCGTCCGGACGTACAAGCGAGCGGCCTTGGTGTGGCCGGCCACTTTGGACAAGGGTCCTTCGGGCGTTGAGAGACTCGTGCTCGACACAACTGCGGCCTCTCTGTGCTGGGTGCACGTGTTCGACGAGAACGTCGAGGTTCTCGATCTCGTGACCACGTCGCCACAGCGTGTCCTGGCTGCGTCTTTTTAGGGGTTTCGATAGCTAATTTATATCTACCCGAAAAATGTTTGTTCCTAAGGGTCCTGGTCTAAGAATGTTTGTTTATAAGGGCGGTCACAGGTGCAGGAGTATCAGCGGGTGGGCCTTTGTGACTTAGTGCGTTTCAGCTTTTTTGAGGTGCGTTTCAGGTGCTTTTCAGCTTTTTTCCAAGGTTTTTGCTGTTGTTTACTCTAATCCCAAGCACAAAGGTGCCCAAAAGACATTCTGCTGTCTCTGAGTGAAGGTCACAAGCTTTACTGGCTCTACTGAAACACCGAACTGTAACCTTGAACAGGCGGAACCCTAAGTTTGAACTCGGGAAGCTCCTGCTCTGGCCGAGGCTTGCGGTCTCTCGGCGAGACCAGGCCTCTGGGAGTGGCCTTTCGTGTGCAGGCCCGGCAGTCGTTGCTCCGCCACCACGAGCTGCACGGGTTCGCGGGAGTGCCAGAGTGGTCTCTGCGGAAGCTTGCCCAGGCCAAAAAGTGGCCGGTCTCGGTCCAGGAGGCAGGACACGACGAAGACGACCGCCTAGCGATAGTTTGTTTGCTGTCGCTCGACCCTTCGTTGGTCAAGGAAGAAGTGGTCGGCCGCTTGCTGAGCCGCCAAGAGGCCGCTCCCTGGTCGATCGACACGGGCATCGACTTGGAGGAGCTCGTGCGGGACACCATGCTGGCCGCAGATCAGGAGCAGGCGCTCAAGCATCTGGCGAACAAAAAGGCCGGTCAGGCGTCGGCCAAGGACGTGCGGAAGAGGGCCTCTCACACCTACGAGCACGTGGCCAAAACGTTCGCTGGTCGGCCGGAGTACAAGAAGTTCCAGGCCCAGCGAAAGGAGAAGGAGAAGAAGGCCGTTCAGGAGCAGAAAGCACGGGCGGCCGAGGCGAAGAGGGTCTACGACGACGTGAACGTGGACGTCGACCGGGTCCTCAAGGCTGCCGTGCCGCCGGGCGTTCGTGTGTACACCGACGACCGGAACGGCCGATGGAGCCTCACGTACAGCACGGCCTGGGCCTTCGCCACCAGAAGCATTTCCTAGACTCAGGTCGGCAGCAAGCCGGCCGGGCGGGCTGCGGTTGAGCAAAGCTGGGACTGGGCGGAGACGTTCGCGGGCCTCGCCATGTCGGACGAGGCCGCAACGATCCTGAAGAAGTTGTCGGCCTGAGTGCTCCTGGTCGTTGCTGGAAGCTTTCACGGTGGACGTCCCTTCTTTTGCTGGAAGTTCGGAAGCAGTCACTCGAACGAGCTCCGTGCTTCGAAAAGGTTGCAGCTGCAGACCACCAGTTTCAGTGCATAAGCAGCTTTCGTTTGAGCACTGTGCTTTCGAACTCAATAGCAGAACCTGTCGCCTTGCTTCGCCCAGGTCAACAGCAGGCCGTCTTCAAGCTCGTCCTCCAGCATCGGCGTGAAGCAGGCTCCTATACGGCATGATTGGTCTGCATTGCAGTGCCGGTGATGCGTAGTCTTCCTGCGGTTGGGCTGTGCACTTGAGAAGACTCCACTCTGTGGCTTAGAGCGATGCACAAGCTAGCGATCCCTTTGCAGGTAGTCTGGTTTCCTCGTGCGACTAGAGGAGATGAAGCAGTCAGTCAGGTCGTGCTGGTGGTACTAGCAGTGGTGCAGTAGTCGCAGGAGTCTTGCTAGTGCTACTACTATCTGTAGAGGTCCAAGTCCCAGTCATCTTGATTTTACTACTAGTCCTGGAGTCCTCCTCGCACCCGAAGTTTTCGCAGTAGACGTCACAGTAATAGTCCTTGTCCTGCTGTCGCGTTCCTCCTCGGTCGTTCGTCCTTCGTGCTTAGTCGTTCGTCGCCGTCGCAGTCGCCATGCCCCGGCCATCCTTGACGGAGACGGGAGGCGTTCGGAGAGCCAGTGCCTGGAGTCTCTTCAACTCCTGGGTCTCTCGCGAAGGTCTGTCAGAAAAACAGGCGGCCCGGTTTCGCATCCGTGGCAAGCGGATGCTGCGGACGGCATCCGCCATGAAGGTCAAGTGGCTGCTCGGACCTGTATTTTTAGCTTTGAGGAAAATAGAAGACATGGCTTCCCTAATTTAAGTTATAAGTCTTTTGGGAATTTATTCTCCCTTGCCCAGAACAGCAAAGCCTTCAGACGTGACCCCGAAGGCGTTACTCACTAAAGGGTTGTTATACTGTAATAGTAAATACTGTGAAGTCGTAGCCCTAAACGTCAACCCATCCATGAATACCCTTTCTCAGCCTGGAGGTGCGTTTCAGCTTTTTTGAGGTGCGTTTCAGGTGCTTTTCAGCTTTTTTCAAAGGTTTTTCATTGTTTTTTTTCCTTTCAGGTCCGGTTTAGTGAATAATTCACATTTTCATGTCAGCGGAACCCCGAATGCCAGCAATACTAGAGTCTAGAGCATTCCAATCACTGTAACTACCTTGACAGTCGCAGCCCTAAACCTGGAACCCATCCCTGATTACGGGGCTTGTAGGTGCGTTTTTGAGGTGCTTTGCTTTAGGTTTTTAGAGTTTTGTTTCAGGGCCTGCAAAACAGAAGCTGTGCTGCACTGAGGAACCACAAGAAGAGCAAGGACATTCGCGAGCAGTTCGGGGCGATGGCAAAGGCGGCCTACGAGGACAACCGCCAAAGGGCAGAGGCTTTCAAGACTGCCCGGAGCAAAGACTTTGTCTTGTTCGACGAACAGCAGGTGGATCGTGCCCAAGACGAGGACGCGGAGGCCATAGCCGTTCGAGTGCAGGAGGACATCGAGGCCGATTGTGCTAGGAGGGACGTTCTCGAGGACTCCTGGACCTGGACGTTGGGCGTGCCTTTTCGCGACTTGGTCGAGGTGGGCAGTGGGGTCGACGGACAGGTCTTTCGGGCCACGTTCCAAGGACAGTCGTTGGCCTTGAAGCTGGCCAAGGGTCGCGGGCTGCAGGACCCGATGCAGCGGGCGGCCGCAGGTGGCCTCGACGTCGCGGAGGAGTTCGCCGTTCTCGGGGCGCTTGGCCAGCACCCGAACGTCGTTCGAGCCTTCGCCGTTCTCAGCAGTTCGCTCGGAAGGCCAGCTCTGGTCCTCGAGTGGGCAACGGAGAGCCTGCAGCAAATGGCTCGCAGGCTGAAGGACGACCGCCTGGAGACCTCGCCGGCCGGGCGACGGTCGCTGCTCAACCTCTTTCAGCAGTTCGTTGTCGGCCTCTCCTACGTGCACAGCCGCTCGTTCCTGCATTTGGATGTCAAGCCCACGAACATCCTGGTCTTCGATGGCGTTCGTGCAGCAGTTGCAGATTTCGGCCACTCGGAGCACGTTTCGGACACTGGCTGCACGGTGATCGGCAATCGGGTCTACACCGAGGCCTTTCGCTGTGCGGAATGCCTCATGGCGGCCGATCGGAAGGCCGGATTTCTAAAACCTATAAGCTTAACCAAATATAGGACCCTTTAACCCGTAGTAGCGGTAGCAAGTGTGCAGGAGTTTTGGTCTCAAGTGTGACTTTTGTTTGGTGAGTTTGTAAATGTACAGCAAGCAGTAACCTTTGCCTCTGTCGTTCTAATTCTGCACCGCCCTAGCAGCCCCAGCCTCGAAGACTCTACCCTGCCAGGTACGTGTGACGTTCGCCGGCGACGTTTGGGCGGCCGCTGTCTCGTTGTTCGAGATCTGTTGCCCAAAAAAGGCCTCGCTGTGGACAATCCCACCTGCGACGTTCCTCCGGGACACCGAGGAGCAGACGGCCAAGGCCATTCGGGAGATGGCCCTCGCTAAGAGCTCCAAGGTCATGCCGTACGATGAGGTCGTTTTGGAGGTCCTGAAGCAGACCTTCGTGCCGGCCAATCGACGGCTAGCTTTGCCAGGCCTGCTGAAGATCATCCAAAAAGCCGTTCGGTCAGCACGACCCCCGTGCCGTCTCGACTGAGACTGGCAGTTTTCAGGGAAGGCTCTCTTTAGGTTTGCCGCCAGGACCGAGGCCGGCCTTGCATCTCGCCCAGACCACGTCGTTCAGAGAAGCAGAAAAATTTGCAGCTCTTGCTCTCATGATGCAGTTGTTGGTTTTGTGTTGTAGGCCTGTACAGGACACCCAGCACATGTCTGCTACCTTCTCTGTTGCCCCCCCGCAACCCTGCCCGTTTTCGGCCGCAGCCTGTGCCAGGTGCTGGATCTTGCGGGCGATCGGCTACAGCGAGAAACGGCTTGGCGTTGCTTCGGCCGTTCGCGGAGATCGGGTTTGCCCTAACAGTCAAACCTAAATAACACGAGCAACTCTAAACCCTGAAACCCCGACCCTACACTAGGCGTCATAAGTTCGAAAGCCTCAAGGAACCACCCGTTTTTCCCGAAACCTTCCCCCTAAACCCTCCTAAGGCCTAGAACCTTATTTGCTCATTAAATTCAATCTCAGACCACATCATTCAAAATAAACATATAGCAACCAGTTTTCTCGTGAAGTTTTGGTCTTCGCTGCGTTAATTCAAAAGACTAAACAGCTCCGAAACCACACTGGCGAGCAACATATTTTCCTATAAACTTGAGCACAAAAAGCGTGAAGGTAAGCTTTGCCGATGGGTCGCTTGTTTTGGATTAATGATTAATGCCTGCCTTTTTTGAAGCATTCTAGATTTGGCTTGGATTGTCCAAACAGTTCGCATAATACTGCAAAAATCATACACCAGAGTATACAACAATACACTGGCGAAAAAGAGCTTGTGTGCTAATCTTCGCCAATCCTAGATTCAGTCGTTTTTGGAAAGCGTGGACGATTGAAAACATGCCTCACACTAGAAAATGTCATGACAAAACATGTTAAAAACACCCATGTGATATGAGCAAGAAATTTTCAGCAAGAATCATGGTTTCTCGACTAGCTTTTCATCGCGATGGTAGTCCGGCCGGCCAAGGCCAAAACCAGTCACCTATCCTAGCCAACTTTTGTCGGTCCTAATTAGGCCGCCCAACCCTAATATAGCACCCTAAATAGCAGGATCTATTATAAGGACCCCCAAATAAGGTACCCTTTTGCAATCTGCCGCCCCACAACGGCCTTGACTGATGCTGCACAACTTTAATTTCAAAAAGTTTTTGAGAGACAGTAGAATACCGCAAGCTCATTAGCAGCATCACTACTTGTGGCCACGACACATGCCCTTCCCTGCTGTGCGACGTGGGGCTTGCCACCAAGCCCTAAACAAACAAACCTTCTAAAACCTTAAACCCCTTGCCAAGACCACAAGGATATGCGAAGCTTCGTTCATGCCGAGGCGAATCGCAAGGACGCACCCTCTACCCTAAACTCTTAGCCGTCTATGCCGGCATGCAAACTGACGATTCAGGGTCGCAGGGTCACTGCTGCCACCGCTCTTGTGTCCAACTGCTATGTCTGCTTTGTTTTTCTTAGATAGTGAACGGGGGAACTTTAAACTTTTTGGCCGTATATATTAGCTCTATCTTAGAGAAAGGTTGAACTTTTAGGCACCCAGTCGTTGAAGAAGAGAGTTTTGAAGACACTGCCATAAACAGTCCTTAAACCCTAAAACCACTAAATCGCGAACTCTCTACGCTAAACCCGGTGCAGCTGCTAGTGCTACTGCTGCTGCTACGGCAGTGAGCTAATAAACATGACCCGAAGAAGCGTTTTGCCTTTGAAACTAGGGCTGTGGGGTTTAGGCTCAATGGTGGCTGGTGTTCCCCCTTGGCTGCAGCTGAGAATCGATTTGGGGTGATTGTAAATTTCCATTTTTTTAAAAAAGTTCCCGAATTGCAAATCATATGGGGGACTGGTGACAAGGGGTTTGTAAGGGCTAGAGGTCTTCGGGATATATAAATATATAAGTATACAAACCTGTAAAAGTATAAAATGTATATGTACAAGTAAATAAACAAATAAATAAATATATATATATATATATGTATATATATATATGTATATATATATATATGTATATGTATATACGGCTGTGCTTCAGTTTGTAAGGGTATGTAGGCTCCGGGTTCAGCTTTAGGGTTCCGCAATTCGTCGCAAGCCGTAAACACTATGCCAAGGATCCAAGTACCTAAGAATCCCTAGGGGTACTTAGATATGTTGTTAATTTTTGGTTATTAAAAATCCCTAAGAGACAGCTAAAACTATGATTTTTGCTAGGGTTCTAAGTTCAGCATAGAATCATACACTTTCCAAAGTCCTAGCCTACATAACTACTATCCTAAAGCCGAGTACCTAACTATTGACTCCCTTGGACCCTTAGGGCTATACACCATCTCCTAGGTCGTCGCTCAAGTTGTAAAACTTCCAGGATCTGTACGTGGCCAGGATACTAGAAGGCGTCCTTGGTCGCAAACCTTAAGCAACCCCGAAAGAAAGACCCCAAAACCCTACCTCGAAGCCCCAGGTCCTAAAATCCAAAAACCCTGAGCCCCAAAACCCCCTAAGCCCGTAAACTTCAAAAAGTCGACATGTTGGAGCCCGAAAAGTCTCCAGGAGGCGCGCAGTCGGTTGCTGAAGCTGAGCCGACGATGGAAGACGTCGCACGGCTTAGTCATGAGCAATATTAATAACATGGCGGAAGACATTCATTACATCAGGCGATTTTTGCCACTGCTTCCGCTATACTGAGACAGGCATGATTTCGAAGATTAGTCCGACCACGACAATTCGTTATAGGGGCTTCAATATTTATCGATACTATATTGGGGGGGCCCTTATTACAATTATAGAGTAATGGGCGCCAAAACCCTATTCTAATTATTAAGGCCCCTATACTAAGCCCTTGGCCCCTTTAAAGGGACCCTATTCTATTTATTCAGGCCCCTATAGTAGTCCGGCCACGACTTTTCTGCATGGTATGCAACGGGAATAATTACAGCTAGGTCAGCAACACCTCCAAGGGTAAATGGAGGGACCCTTAATAAGGCCCCTGGGTATACACCTTTAATATAGCTACTTTATACCCATTATATAGCCCATTATAGGATAAGCGTCCCCATTCAGGGTCCTTCCTTTTCCCCTAAACCCTAAACCCTTTGTAGAATCCTTACAGACCCCTTTAAGGAACCCTATATAAGGGTCCCCATTAAGGGTCCCTCCTCTTCCCCTTTGAACACCGGAGTCTGATTCCCGGATACTTAGAGGCCCAGGGGACCGAAGGGTTCCTTACAAGGGTTCCGCTAAGGGCTTCTATGAGGATTCTATAAGGGTTCTCATTATAGTACTTAGGGGCCCAGGGGACTGAAGGGTTCCTTTACAGCAGAAGCCAAAAAGTTGGAATCCCAATCGCCTCGATCCTTAAGACAAATGTATAGGGAATCCCGGCACTTTCTCGCCTTAATCCGGTTTCCAACTTTATGGGTTTTACTGTAAAGGGTTCTGTTAAGGGTTTCTATGAGGATTCTATAAGGGTTCTCATTATAGTACTTAGAGGCCCAGGAGACTTAGTAAGTAGGTTACAAGTAGAGTTAGAAGTACAATAGTGGAACTATCCCAATTACAACCCTACTTATCACCGACTTGCTAAGTCCCCAAGCAGGATGGCAGGCATACCGGCATACCGTCCCAGAGTGAACCTCTGACTTCGAGCAGCCTTCCTTAGAGGTGCCCAAGGTGAACAATCCCGATAAGCCCTAATCTTGTGTAAAACTCGGTGCGAAGCACTGGTTACTCTAGGTGGACCCTAATATAGTACCCCAAATAATAGGATCCTTACTATAAGGAGCCCAAATAAGGTACCCCTAAATTTCGGAAACTCACAAATGTCCATCAATCGTGTTCGTTGGTGAATCCCTCCCAGTATTCTCCCAAAGGGTCCTATGTATTGTTGTAGGGGATACTTCCCTAAGTCATAGTAGCAATTCCTACTATGGAAACCCGACATTCTACTATATAGGTACATAGGACCCTTTGGGTCTGCTCAGCCTTGATACAATCAGGACAATCATCCGAGGCCGTAGTGCTGCTTTAGGGTTTAGGGTTTAGGGTTTAGGGGTTTATGGTGTAGGGTTTAGGGGTTTAGGGTTCTGGGTTTTGGGTTTTGGGTTTAGGGCTTTGGGTTTTGGGTTTAGGGTTTAGGGGTTTAGGGGTTTAGGGTTTTGGGGTTTGGCAACAGCCGGTTTAACTTATAGGTGCCACAACCGTGCCACGCGAATGTCCACGATGTTGAATGGTTACATTTCTTCCACAACGTTGGTTGCCTTGACCTTGCCTGCGCTAGATATCTGTGAGGCCTGCTTGTCAGACTAGGAGGCATCAGTTTCAAGCTTCTTGTCTTTTACGCACCGCGCTACATATTGAAAGTTCAACTTCCTCACAGTGTTTGCGTGCGGCACGTATTTCTTATGTGCTTATTTTGCAGCACCTCTTGCGAGCTGCATTCCAGTTACACGGGCCATTTCTGTTCCGTTCGGTGCCAGCCTATCTCTGGGATTGTGAGGCTTCTTGACAGAGGCATTGTGCGAACCGAACCGTTGCCTGGGCAATGCAACGATATTGTCGTTCGTAGGGCTCATGCTTCACGTGACCAGTTTCTGTGTATTTGGAGTTTTCGCAGCAAGCGGGTGGTTTCGGCGGCGCATCAGCAGCGCAAGCATGACAGTAGAATCATTAAATAGAAGGCTCCGACATGTCTTGTGCATGAGCCTCAGTATCCCACCTGAGGTTGTCATTGCACCCGATGTTGTTTCTTGTACAACGACACCCGACAACAATCTTGCAACACCCGGAAACGTCGAACTCCAAAACTTATATGCCAACCTCATCTTGCATAGTTCAAATCCTAAACCCATTTGGCAAAGCTTACACTGCTAAGGCAGTCAGAGATGGAAGTTGTCAGCTCGGACGACGAGGTAGTTCTGCTTGCTTTGGGTTTAGCGGCTCTTCTTGTTCATGTGCCTAACGCTTGGGATGTAGGGTTCTAGGTTTTGGTGGTTTCG